TCCTCAGAAAACTGAGGCATTGTTCAGGTTCAGTTCTTAGGAAGGGGGACTGAAAAGTGAGATCAAGAGGTGAAAAGCTTATTAGGAAAGCTGGAACTGTTTGTTCCTCCTCCTCTGATGTGCAGCAGAAGGATGAGGAAAAAACAGTGCTTTTCATAGGCAATGAAAAACATAGTGAAGCACGCATCCATGCAAAGGAAGGGAAACCTGAGGGTTTGTTGTCTCACTGGGGCAGGTGACTGCTGTGTTTCCAAGGTACCAGGCTCAGCATTGACTCCAAGCACTCCCATGGTTGAATCTCATAAGACCCTCCTAAGCAATGAAGCCCTTCCAGAAGGAGGGAGGGACACGTTGCTTACAAAATGAGTCAGTGTGATCACAAGAGGAAGCTCTGTACAAACACAGAAAGCATTCATCACCACTTCCTACACCCAACAGTCAACAGCATGTCCATTTTAAGTAGATAGTGAAGGACTTGAAACAATTTGGAAAGTCTGAGAATTTCCACTGAAATCAGTAGAAAACATGCAATGATTTCCTAGAATGAAGTCTAACAGTGCAGAAAAGGAAAAAACAGCTCTTTCTCCCCAGAAGCTATAAAATAGCAATATATTTATAGTTTAGAAAGAGAGGGGAAATCTGCATCTGGGTTTCTCAAATCACCTCTTGAGAACTTCTTACTTTGGAAGCATCCAACAGTATGACTGTGAGGTTCCCCAGGCATTTTTTTTTTCTGCAATGTAGTTTGTGCTCATGAGACTTGTCTAGCCATTGGATGTTCAGATGTACACATCTTACAACAGCACCAAACAGACAGCAGAAACATTATGTTCACAACTCTTCACTGTTTTATTCTATTGTAGAAGGTGTTGTCATGAACCTATATATGTAATCTGGAGCCCTAACAAGCAAGCTTTAAAAGCATTAGCAGTAAAGACATAAAATACCAACCTCTTTTTCCCAGCTGTGCTCATATGATCAAAGTACTTCATTCTAATAAACAAGTTAGTGGTGTGTAAATCTTCTTACAAGGCACTGAAGGTGAAAAAATATAATTCAGTTGGGCTCATACAGCTAAACAACAGCTATGTTACAGCAATATTATAATCTCCCCAAAGCATAATGGGATAAAATGAAAACATTCTTCTGCAAGAGAAGGATAAATAACACTCATTAAAATATCTTCTCCTGTATTGGGCAGGTCAAACCAGTTAATAGTGTTAATGATCCAGATTCAGGAAAAGGAGGCAGTTTGAGAACACCCCAAAGAACAGGTGTCCCACTCAGTCTTCTATTTTTGTTTTTTTCACATAAGTTTCTTTTTTGCTTTTTAAGGTGAGAGCCCTGCAGCTTGGCTTCCACTGTGTTTCAATGCAGCCTCGTCATATATAAAGTCAAAGTCAGTAGTGGGAGGAAGAGAGAATGGGAAAGCTGGTGAGCACTGCTGGTGTCTGCATGAGCATGACTCGACCGCCCACGGCCCCGGGGCTGGGGTTCGACTGTGATGTAGCCATTAATGATGCGGATCCGTGGAGGAGGGTCGGTGGCACTGCAAGGCAAGAGAAGAACATCAGTCCAGACCAGTCCAGAACTGCCAAGTGCCCACAGAGCAGGAGGTGAACAGCCTCTCTACCCCACTGTCAGTCTTCAGGGCTCCTGGGAATGGTCTCCCGTACCCAAGGACCACGTCTCCTAATGGCAGAGTGCTGCCTCATCCCTTCCTCGTAGGTGTGGGCAGCTCCCATGCCAGCCCACATGGTCAAGGAGAGCTGCCTAGATGAACTGCAAAGCAGTTTTGAGGGGGAACAGGGAAGAGATTGAGGAGAGTGGAGGCAGCACTGAAACTCATGCCTTGTAGTCAGGTTTACCCAGCCAGCCTGCGCATTACTCCCATGCACTCAAGTCACGGGGGTAAGAGAAGTAAGCATATCCCTAAGCACCTTTCAGCTACACAGAAAAAATGTAAGAATAAAACAAGCTTTGCTGCAGAGGAGTGTCACTGCAGCAACATCTGCTGAACACAGCAGGAGGCACCATTTTCATCTGAATCCATCTTCCCCAGCCATGCTTCGCTCCGTGCATCTTAGTGTAGACCAAACTTGTTCCTATACTGCATGTTCTCTTCCATAGGTCAGGAATTACAAAAAGTTTATAGGACATGCTTTCAGGAAAGGAAGAGCCACCTCCAGAAACACATCCTAGAGACACTGGGAAAAGATCACCAAATACCAGAGTACCTCCCATTGGTAGTGAGGACTCTGAGGTGGTGATGAACAAGAACTGTGTCAGAGCCTGTGATGCCAAACTCCCGTTATGGAAATATGTGATGGAGAGAGATTTCTGTGGTCCAGGCTGCTAACACCAACTGTCCTGAACTGGGGGAGCTCCCAGACCATGCCAAGTCAAGAGTCAGAAGGGTCAGATAATACACAGGTGTTGTCATCTTCAGCAATGGATCGAAAGTGATGCTTGACCCCACAGCTGTAAGGCTGACATAGTCCCATGAGGCCCTGGGGTGTATGTCAGCCTTACAGCTGTGGGGTCAAGCATCACTTCTGGTGTGGAACCAGAAGACAAACGTGGACAAAATTAAAAGCAAGTCTACCTGCTAAATACAAAAGCAGAGTAATTTCTCCTGCACCCACTCCCCAGCTGCTGTGCACCATTCTCGCCTTAATTTGGCCAGCTACATTAAGCAAAAACACTTTGAGAAATTGAAGGCAATTAGTATCCTTTCTGAAAACACTTACACTTTCATACCTAAAGGCCCCCACAGAAGGTTTGAACAGTAACTGGAGAGAAGCCAGCTGGCAGCACATCAAAGAAATACAGCTGTCTGCCAAGGTATACAGGAGCACTAACAAAAGCAATTCTGCCAAGCCCACTACAAGACTGTATTAAATCACTTGAGTGGCGCCTTCCACACTTCCAGGATCAGAGGAGGGAAGCTGGGAATGGCCCACACATTGGACACCTGACAGCTTTACATGTGCTCAGGCACCCCGGGGGATGCCTCCAGCAAGGGCTGAGCCTTCCAGTGAGACGTGTCCCGCACATCTGCGAGCCCAAAGCTGGATTTGCACTGCGGGGACACATGGCGGCTGTGCCACGAGGTGGGGCTGTCAGCTCAGCCCACGGCTGCCCACGGACTGCTTGGGGCAGAGAGGGCGGTGATTCCCCCTGCTTTCAAAAAACAAGCCCAGAAAGGGATTGGCATGAATGACAGCCGCCTCTCTGACAACGACAGCTTTCCCTCTGCAGTAAGGGCACAGCAATCTCCCAGGCAGCAGTAAGCATCGCTCGTCTTTCCCAGCACTGTCACGCAACAGCTCCATCTCCAGACGTGCAAGCTCCGTGCGACTAAGGATTCAGCCCTAAAATGAATTTGTCACCTAGCACCTGAGTAAGTGTCTAGCACAAAGGATGACTTAATTAGTAGGGGAAGAAAGGGAACACTGCAAAATAAGAAAAGGAGGGATCTGCTGCTACCATACTTACGCAGTAGTTTCTGAAGCCGCCATCATCAGCTTTGCTTTTGCCTCAATGTTGCCCTGCAGTACTTCCAATCCAGTATGAAGCCCTAATGCATCTCTAATTTAGTCACAGTAGCACATCCTCCCATCTTCCCCCTTCTTCTGAAGGCACTGACGCTACAAGTGCATGTGTATCTCACATCAGGACACCCACTGACTTCCCTGAGCTTCACAGGAAAAACTGTGTGTGAAAAACTGAACATGTCACTGTGTAGGCAGGGTGGGAGCTTGAAATCATAAAGACTCCAACTCATTCCTTAGCATTTCAAGTAAACAGACTGTCAACAGAAGCTCCAAAAAGCCATTCACAAACAGCTGGTATCAACTACATTAACAGAAAGTAAACGATACACTAAAAGGCAAAGTCAAATGTGATCAGTGTAAGGATGCATTGTACTGGTGAATCTTTGACTGAGTGTGTCAGTCACTGGGGATGCAAACCTCCATGTGCATTTGTCTCCCTTTCTCTCCAAACTACTCACACTTAAGTTGGAATGAGGAGCAGAGAGAGAGAGCACAAAACTACTCAAAGAGGAAAAGGAGTCTGGTCTAAAAAGTCTGAAAATGGCTGAATGCTTGGAACCAAACAGCAATGCTTGGAACCAAACCTGCCTGCAGACAGCCTGAGCACTGTATTGCTCAAAGCAGTCGTACAGCTAGGACCCAGCAACATGACAGGAGAGGCATAGGAGAACCCTAATACACTCAGTGCCTTGTGAAACAGGCAGAAATATTCTTAGGAGAGAAAAGAAAATATACAGAGGCTTCATTTCAAGAACTTCAGGCTTTTCTCCATCATTCTGACCTGCATTGTTATTTACAATACCACAATAATAAAATGGTTTAAACCTAAGTATGACAGAGATACAAAGAAAGGCACAAAGTACAAAAGAGAGCAGACTCCGGCCTGTGTGCTATCTTACAGGAGGGATTAAGGTACGCACTCAGCCACACACCTAAGTATTGCTAGTGAGGGACAAGGTGGCTTTTTTCTTTGCAGGCTGCTGTAGTTCTTGTAGGCGAGTAAGCTCTTCTGAATGGAAAACTAGGGGATATGTGTGAACTTTTGGCCCACAACACACTCCATTTTTTATATTAAATCTGTCATCCATTAGGTTGTCATCCCCCTTTCCAGATCTCCAGTAATGTCATGGAGCTCACATGCTTTTTAAGACTGGAAGAATCCAGAGACTGAAAATACTACATAAATACTGTCCAAATGCAAGGAGCACATATGCCAGGTATGAGTTTCCACATATGCAGCAGCTCTTGAATAAAGGTCCAAGACTTTGATCTGTACCATCTACCACTGGAACCAGTCTTCTGTGATAACAAGGACTATCATATGCTCACAGTCCCTTAAGCTTAAGTGCAAAATGGTCTAGACAAGGCTTCCACTTGTGTTATGGCTACTTTGCCACAGACCTATCCATGCAGAAGAAACTACTATGTCACTAAAAGCCCAAGCAGCCTTGAGTAAATGTTTTAGCAAGAATCACAGTGATGGAGAAGGTCAGATCCTGCCCTCAGCATGTACCTAGCTCCTGCACAAGTTTGGAATACTGAATTAATCAGCCTAAGTTAAAGTCCAGTTTGCGTGACAAACCCTCCTCCCTCCCCAGCTGTTAGCTACCTTTCTTCAAGGCGAACCCAGAGGTCATTAAACTGCCGCAGTCTTTGCTTCTTCTGCTGCTTCTTCTTCTTCCTTTTGTACTTCCTGTCTGCCTTCTCCATCATGTCGATGCTGTCAGGGAGCAGCAGGTGAGGCAGGAACTCTTCTTCCTCCTCCTTCTCCTTCTGGAGGTGCAACGACAGTGGGAGCTCCTGGGACACGACATAGGTGCTGTGTACTGGTGATGATGATGAAAAGGCTAGCAAGGTTTTGGGAGGTTTTCTGCTGGAAGAAGGAGGGAACACAGATAATATTTGAAAGGGCGTTGAGGCAGAATCCTGGTAAAGGTATCATCAAAGCACATACAAAACAGGTGTTTCTCTGTGACATATTGGCTGGATGCTTATTTCTCTGCCTTGTATTCCTGCCCCTCTTCCTTAAATCAATGTTCTGATCAAAATAGTATTCTTTAATGAAAAAAGCTTTTGAAAAAAAGGTAATCTGGAACTGAGGAAGGAATGCGGTCTGGCTCAGATCTAGAAAAGATCTAGAATGACTCCTGGGAATAACCTTGTGTATCTAGAAAGAGACAGAAAAGGAATGCTCTTCAAAGTCAGAGGAGGCCAAACCACACTCCTCTAGTCTGACGTACTGCAGAACACAGACCAGACTGTTCCTTTCAGCAATTCCTGCCAACTAACTTGGGAGGCAGAAGAAAGGGACAGGGACAGGATGAGTAGGGCACACTAGCTGAAGGAGCCAGTCCTAGATCAACAACTCTCACTGGTGGAAAAGGTAAGAAGTAAGCTTGTCCACAGGCTGTGGTCACGGCTGCAGAAATGCGTCTTGTCAGTTACCATCTTTTAAGGGAATGGCTCAAAACACCATTAAGCAATCCTTTGGGCCGTCTAGTCTGCAGCAACTGGAAGCAGACTAGCTGTGGCAGTGCCAAGTTCACTCTCATCTCATTTTCTCTTTTGTGAAACCAGATGGTACGGACCAGTAAATACGCAGCTGTTATAAAACATCAGGCCAGGGAACATGTCTGACATAAGAGACCAGAGCTCAACTCACTATTGTGGCATTGACTTCCAGTGTAAGCTAGTATCTCTGTGCTGATCTGCAAAAGGAGATAATGCTCAGATAAGCACACCAAGGAGCATGAAATGATGCCTTAAGGGTTGTATTAGACAAGTATGGAGGTCCACATGGAGGGGGGAAGGCTGAGAAACTGCAGCTCTCCCACAATGCAGAAGTGAGCTTTGCACACATCTGCAGCAAGTAATGAGGGAGTAGGAGTCAGGCCTTCAGCTTTCTGGCTGCACAGACACTGTATTAGGCTAGCAGCACTGTCTGGAATTTCGAAACAGCTCCAGCAAGTGAGATACTGCAGTGAGACTATGTGTATGCACCTACTCTCTCAGAAGGCAAATCTTCAAAGCCCAAAGGACCACACAGCAGCTGAGCCCCCAGAAAAAGCTCTAAGGGCTATGCTTACTCAGCTTCCTGGGAAGGTGACATATTGAAGAAACTATCAGCTCCACCATGATTACTCAAGCTCTGTTTCATTATACTTAGAGCAAGCAGCACCTCATCTATACTCCAAGGCGGGCAGTCTGCAGTCTCCTATGTACTCGTGGCTTTGCTGGGCCGCAGTTGTCATCGTTTAGAACAAAGCAACTCCCTCTCTTTACTTGCTCATGAGCATCTTGTACAAACACACTCCACTCTGTGGATATACAGAGCACGACACAAATATCTGACTGATCTTTATGGCTACTTCAAGAGACTGGCTTGGGCTGAAATTTAGAAAAGTAACGGAAAGGTACAGCATGCAGAAACCTGTCTTCAATCAGTGAAACCTTCCCAGAACTACAGTGTGTTTCCTTTCTGCCTTGCAATGGCATTGAAAGAAGGAGGTCCAGAAGGAGACATTTTTTCAGTGTGGCTGCAGTTTTCAAGCTAGCCCATTGTCCTGGTTTACTGGGACAAAACTTGAAAGTCAGTTTTCCATTGAGGAAAACTGCAGTTTTTTAAGGACTATGACACTCTATTTCATGAAAACAAAGTAGCAAGACTTTTTTATGGTTTTCAGCTAATTCTGGTATGTGATATTCAAGGTCTTCAGCAATTTTTAGATAAACAGGTGCAGAAGCTGGGGAAAGCAGAAACCCATGGTAACTGATCCCAGTTGCCCAATTAGTACTATTCTATACCATAGATGTTACATTCACTATAAATCGAGGAGTTTACTGGGGACAACCCTCCTTCTCTTTCTTCCTTGGCTGACATCGCGAGAGCAACTTGTCCATCATCCTACACCTAAGACCTACTTCTCCACAATACTGGCTGAGTATAACCCTGTGTACTTTTTATTAATAATGTGATTAATATTAGCTTTTAATTATTATTTATTAAATATATTTCTATTTCAACCCATGAATCTCCTTCCCTTTCTCCAGCCTCCCTCCCTGAGTGGGGGAGGAGGCACTGGGTGATAGAGCGACTGCATAAACCATGACACCTATCACTGTGGGCACATCTCTTTGATGAAGAATAAAGAGGGTCCATCCTGGAGAAGGAGAAATGAAGCTACAGACTAGTACATGAGGGAAAAATTAGATGGAAAATGAAGATAATTTGATCTTGTTTCCTGCAAGGAAAATCACAGACTGATCATGTGGTGAACTTCATGTGACAGAGACTGGAGCAGGATGGGTGTTGGGCTATCAGTCCCTTTCAAAATCCTTGTGACTGTCACACTCTCATTTTATCACCTCTGAAGTGTCATGACCCTTTAGCTCTCCTCCAGAACATCTTCACATCACCTACTCCTAACTCTGGCTTACAAAGTGATGCCTCCCCTGCCAAGTTGTCTCTAGTGACCTGATTTGATCTCTCTGAAGGTCCTCTGCTTGTGCTTCCCTTTTCCCCAATTTCTCTTCACTGTGCCTGTTGCTTAATGTGAAAAAAACAGAGTAGGCACCAGCCCTCCTCTGTGAATTAGAGTGCCTTGCTGCCTGCAGTCTCCCCTACAAAACTCATGGCAATACCATGCTGTCACTCAGCATTGCTACGGGAACAGCCAAGATGACCTCCATCCTGCATGGCCTGATTATTCTGATATCTGCAGCCTCACAGAATTATTAACAACAAACAGTCATACACATATTGTCCTCTGCAATGCTTCCTGCAGGTAATTCTTCCAGGGACTAACTGAGCAACTACAGGAAAAGTCATACAGATGCAAAAGTACATCCTTCTTCCCCAAGGCCAGTTGCCTCTCCCAGCACAGGAGCTAAAGGATGAGTCAGGAAGCACTTTAATTATGGGTGTGATTATGTGATGAACATTTTATTATATATATATTTTATATATATGCATTCTAAAATCAGGAACAACAGTTAAAGCCCAAAATAAGACAGTAGGAGCTTGATTGAACTTGTGGCACTATTTATAAACTGTCCTTTGTCCTGCTGGGTGGTTGGAGCACATCTTTTGCCTTCCTCACTTTGATGACATCACAAAGACGACCTCCTGCCTCCACTTTCCGCTACAGGCATTCATCCTCTTCTCCCTGTAGATGGGCAGGGCACTTCAGGCAGCCCTGTGTGCAGGTGAAATTGTGTGACTGCACCCAGCAGTCTGCCTGTCACAGAAAAACATGCATAATGATCCTGTGTCTTTCTGTGTTCCTATACAGATCTGTAAGATACTTCAGAAGGGACTTTCTGTTTAGCCAGAGCACAGAAAGCAGCAGACTGTGCTGCTACCACACAGTGTCACGTTACAGGAAAGAGATACAACTGCAGACTTCCTCATGCTCTTGTTTTAGGACTGCCCTGTTAATATACCCTACTGTAACTGACAACAGAACAGCCATTTGAATGCTCTATCTCAGTTCAACCACTTGCCAGTTTTTCCTAATCTCAATTCTGTCCTGTGAAATAGCCCACAGGTACTGACTGGACTGTGTGCAGCACTGCTATCTAGGACAGCAGCTAGATATGGTTCCACATTTACATGGGCTGGACTGGGCTTATTGACACAGACTGCTCTAGTATTTGGTCACAGAACAAGCCCAGGACAGCAATCAAGGGAAACCCTCCATCCAGCCCCCAGGACTCTCACATACTCTTGCCACAGGTCTTTCCCTCACCTCTCCTTCAGAACTCACATTTTTCTTGAAACTCATTTAATATTTTTAAATGTTTCCAAATCATCCAGAAATGTTAACAACTTTTCTCAAAGAAAACACTAAAGTGCCGTCTTCTTTAGCTTATTCACTGATCTTTAAAGTAAAGACTCCAGGAAATATGTTCTGTCCAGTAGTCCTAATGAAAGGTTTGAGATGCAACCAAATGCCAAACTGAGGGCTTTCAAAGCCACAAGACTCACTGGCTGGACAATGAACTTTCAAGAAGTGCTCTGAGAACTGGGTGCCCAACTACCCCGAGTACCACTGGTATCTACCTTTCTGATGGGTGAAGATCTAGCCCCACCTTCCACAGTTGTTTGTGCTTGATTTCCTTACAGCTACACCTTTACAGAGCAGTATTGGATTTTGTTTATTCTCAAGTACATCTTAAACTCTCTTTCTTTAAGCTTTAAGAAACTGCTATGGCTGTTTTTAAGGATACCTAAGCTGAGAATGTTCTGTGAGAGAAAACCAAATCCAACACAAAAATATCAACACAAGCAGGTTCATATCCCCATAAACAACAATACACTGGATTATCTAGTACAGCTTAAGTGCTATGGGAACATTAAGTCTTGTGCTTAAGCACCAGGGGCTTCTCCATGTCAGATTACCTGCCTATTGGCGGCAACAGGGTTAGGGGCTGCATTCAAGTACTCACGGAGATGAGTCTTGGCTCAGCTTGTTTCAGTGCACATAGAGTTAATGACGTATGTCCACATCAAGAATCATAGCAAAAACATAACCTGCCAGACTTTGAATCTCATGGTCTGAAAAAGGCAGCAAAAGCGGTGCAAAGAGAATGGTGAAGCAACCAGAGCATAAGAAAAACATCTGTTGTTATTTTGTACCACCACATCTGTGGAGCTCCTGGCACAGATTGAGACTCTGCACTGTACCCCTGCACAAAAGGTGATTTAGTATGGGGCGGGAAGAAATGTAGGGGAGACAGAACAGAGAAGGAAACAGTGAGGGACAGCATGTATGGCAGAAAGGATAAAAGGGAAACAGTACCATAATTGGGATCAAACCTTTTTTCCACTGTGGTCTTTTTAGCAGTGACTACAAGGAAGAGTGGAAATATGTGAGAGACACAAGAGCACGTGTTTGGTGGGAGTCTGGAGAACGGACAGACAAGGATTGCAGATCCTAAGCTGGTGGCAAAAAGTCAAAGAAGAAGTGAGTCAAAAACACGTGTAATTCTCAGCAGAGTGTGGAGGAGAAGATCATTTGACATTCTGTAGTTACCAAAACCATGGAGATGGATGAAGGTGCCCAGTGAGAGATAAGAAGATGCAGTTAGGGTATATCCCAAAGGACAGCTGCAAGATGAACCAGAACAGCAAGCACCTTGGCTTAAAAATGCAAAAGAGAGAAGGGGACATGAAAGCAATCAGTTATGGGGACAGCTTGCAAAAAAGGCTAGGTGGACACTGGGTAGTCAGATTCCAGGCTGAGAGAGAGTATTCGGAAAGAATCAAAAATAGCAGTGTAAGAGGAGAGTGTTAAAATACAGGGTAGTCAAACACTTAAAAGTGAGAAAGGAGGAGGAGCCTGGAAGTCTATGTGGTATGAGATAGCATCCAGATCTGATGAACGGAGTATGGATACTATATGGCTGTTAGTTTATGAGTTAAAAACTTACGGGGGGGAGAAGGGATATTTTTATTTTATGAAAAAAAACCAACAACAACAAAGAAAAAAACCCAACCCAAACCAAAAAAACCACACACACCAAAAAAAACCCCAAAATAAACAAACAACACACACACACACACACACACACTCACACACACACAAAAAACCCACAACACAGAAAGTCCTCCAAACAACACACAAAACCCCAAACCCAAACCAAATAAAATCCTGTTTCCGATTTGGCTCATTGAAGAGAAAAACAAACATCTGGGGAGGAGAGAGGGAGCCCAGCTCACTGTTAGGTATAGTTCCACCTGCCACTACCTGGATAGTTTACAAGCCCACCCTCCCAATGGCTGCTGAGCTAGATAACAGCATGCATTACTTGTTGATGGCTTGTCCAGCTGGGGTGTGTTCTACCTCGTACCCTTCTCTCCTCAAAACATCAATCACTGTGTTGTTGCCCATGAAGTGACCTGCAGTTAAGAAAAAAAAAATACATCAGAACTCAACAAACACAAGGAAAGAGAGAGAACAACAACAAAGTCCTTCCTCATCACAGGAGGCGTACCACACTCTGGGCAGGCAGTGCTTTATCATTCCCCACCAGCATGCACCTGAAACACGGGATCTCTAACCAATGATTGCTAAACCTGCCCAAGGTCTCTTTAGTTACCACGTTCTGCCTTTCCAAAATGCAGATGTGACTGAAATTACTCTAGTCCCACAGTCTGTTGCATTTTCAGGCCACTGTGAATTTCCTGGGGTAATAAGAGATGAAACTGGGAGATGTGTTCAGGAGCAGCATCGAGTCTAGAACTGGTGGTGATGCAAACCAGGTCAGAATCTGGCTGCATCATTTTAATATCATTTGGCATCACAAAGGCACTCTCTGTGATATCAGTCAGCATCATTAACCATTTTAAAATTATTAAGAATCATCCAACTGTAGAAAATTGAAAATAGCACTGAAAACAAATGACTTAGAACAACCCCTTTAATTCCTTCAGTATAAGCCACTGGGGACAAAAACTCCACTTTAGTTGTGTCGACAATAGTTTTGGAATAACTTAGCTAGCTCTGCCCTAATTCTGTGATTTATGTCTGCACTCCATTTTCAGACAAATGTGGTGGCTGGTCAGTCCATACTTTGGCATCATAGCGAATAAACGACTACTCAAAGGGTGCAGGAGTAATTCCTGAACAACTGACTGTATGCTGACTGACTTCCACCATCACTTTAACACCTCATCAGGCAAGGCTGCTGAGGAGCAGGACAACAACAGAGGCCTTGCACAGTCCCTCACAGATCTAGTTTTCTTGAAAATATTTGCTCATTTAGTAGCCTACATTAATTAAAATTAGGCTTGGGCAAGTGACTTATTAGAGTTCTCCCTTGCCTCTGAAGATGTAAGCAGTGCTAAAACTAATAAACTACTTAATAAAAACTATTTTCCTGCTAATATTCTTCATAAACATATAGAAATAAACCTGCCAGAATATTTCTAGTAGCCAGGGAAAGCAAGGACATAGAAAGGGAAGTCCAGTAGTGATGAGATTAACAGGGGACTAAGCCCAAGGGATTCATGATTTTTCACTTCAAAATTGATTCAGTTAATTGGAACACAAAATTTCATACCACAACAGGAAAAGACTCGTGGGCTATCACATTAAGGCATGACAGTTGGATGGTAACATTTCAGCATAGACATTTATCAAGATGAAGTTTTGCTGAGAGACTAAGAACACAAACAGATCTAGCTCAAATGAAATTTTTTAATCGAACACTGCAATGCACACTCATTGGGTACCATATTTTCTCGCCTAGTAATGGGGTTTTCCCCCAGATCCTCAGCCTAACTTTCAATTTCAGTAAGAGTTAAAGCTTGACCATTATGTGAACCCAAGCTAACACTGTTGGTATCTGTTACTTGCCAATGGTTCAGTCCCACGTGCAGTTTACTGAGAATTTCCTCATGTCAGCAAAAAGACCAGATGCAGCAAGGAACAGGAATAACTGTAATTAAACATTGCAGTTGAGTAAAATCAGCCACTGGAAGGCCAACATTAGGTATACAAGGTGTCAAACCTAGTTGCTATTTCTCACCTTTAACACAGAGGAGAGGTTTGTGCAAAGGGAAGGGGAGAGGGGATTCACTCCTCCTACCCTGCCTCCACCCCTTGTAGGAGACAGTGAGGCAGGACAACTTAAGACTTTCACAGAAGTGCCTCTCCACTGATGTGGATAGGGGCAGAGCATATGGCAAGTTCAGAGTAGGTATTCAACTCACATGGGCAACGTTGGATGACTTGAGTCCCACCCTCAGCAGTGAAAAGCAGTGCTAAGGCTCTGCACTCATATTTTCCTAATCCAAGTCCTTCAGGAGGAAAGGGCTTACACAAAGATAAGCAATCTATAGTGTTAAAATAATTATCCTCATGGCAGCTGAAGAGCTTAAAGTCTCACTCATTTCAGGAGTGAGAACACTTAATCTTCTTTTTAATCTGATGGAGTGATAGTCATGTGTGCAGGTCTTCACAGGGAGCCTTTGCTTATTGTAACATCAGCATGTGAAAGAAAAAAAGGTGTGCTAATACTGTGCAAAAGATAACAGGTTAAATCAATAGATATCTGAAAAAAAAAGATGCATACAAATACAAACTGGCATGTGATATAGATTGCTCACAAGATGTCATCAATCAGGAGCTGCTCAGGCTAGGTACTTAAAATGATCAGGAAATTACAGTGGTTGCTATCCAATAGGTGGTCACATACGCTGCATGAGACAGAGCTGTCTGGGACCCAGAGGACCTACAGGGCCAACCTGAGCTAGGTGGAAAATGAAACAGAGACAGAAAGGTGAGGGACTGAGGTACAGGACCCCACCAGGTGCCTTTCTAGCATCAATGCTTTTGTCTCTTTTCTGGGAACTGTCACAGAATGAGCTCGGTGGTATGTGAGAGACTTGATCACCGAAAGCAACCACAAGAAACATGAGAAAGATTTGCTCTCCAAGGCTTAAGATCAAGCAGCTATGCTGCAAGGGAGACTTGGCCCAAAGTCACATGACAGGGAGCAGGCCTCTTTCACCTGTTTTCTACTTTAGCCTAACACACTTGAATGCCTCCAAAAAGAAAAGCCCCAGGCCCTGTCCCATCAGAAAGCCTGCTCTTTTCTTTCTGCACACAGCCCTGCATTATCCTCACACCACTAGGTGAAGAGATGCCTCCCAGAGGTCAATTTACTCTGGCAGGGGGTGGAGAGCCATGAATCTCTGTTCTTCTGTGTTCAAGCTCAAAGAGAAACTAAGAAGCTGTTGTGTGCACCAGCTCAGCCATGCACTCTACTGGAGAGTAAATAAGAGCCCAGCCTTTAATCTGCCCTGAAAGGAGATGGCATGCAGGGACCGCAACAGGCAATATGCTCAAGCAACAATGCTGTTAGACTGACGTGCACTTGCAGACTAGTCCACACACTCGGACATGCATCAGGCACTCCTGACCTTCATCAGTAGCAATACCCAACCCTGAAGAACACAGGCTACTACTATTGCCATGAAATCCATGTCTCCTGCTTTGCAGCTTTTACTGCCAGTGCGCACAGAGGTGTTTTCATCTAGGTAACTGTGCTAGGACTGTGTGTTTCAGCAGAGGCTCCTGAGCTCAAATTTGAGCCATCACAAGGCTTAAAATTTTCTGCATCTAGTGAAATGAACAAGGATATACTGCACAACAAATTTTTGTTTCTGTTCTTCAATTTTTATTTTCCACATAAAGCAAGATTGTAAGACTGAAGAAAACGATGTTCCTCTCTGAATTACAACAAAATCCACAATTCCATGCTGACAGATTTCCTTGACCTTCTCTTAGAGTCATGTAAAAGGAAACTGCTAAGTCCTCGTAATTCTTTATGTTTGCTGTGTTTTCCTAAGCAGAAAGATGACACTTCCAATCTGCCTCAGAAACATGCCAGGACCTCACCATCTACAAATATCCCAAGAACATGAATCACTGGATGTACACGTAAAGAAATTAGACTGTTTGTTAGGAAACCTGATCTGGACTGCTGACCTCCAAGAAGTGGTGGGAACAGCTACAGCACATGATCATAACAGTGCAACCACAAAATGGCACAATTCTAGCCACTGAGGACATCATAGAGCAGGATGTTTATCTCTGCCTGGGCTGGGAGGGCTCAGATGAGCTTTTGGTGCCAGAGGTTCTATGGGTCACTGAAACAAGTATTTTCAGTAACATTTCAGAGGTATAGATCTTACAATTATTTAGAAACTTCCTGGAAAGTGCCTGTGGCAATGTGCGTATCATTCTTCTTCCTGGTTCCAAGAATTATAAATTCATATAACATGCCCTAGAAGGGTGAACAGGACAGCTGCAGGTGACCAGATTAGAGTCACTGTCCTGTAAAAAAGGCAAGGCATGAGGCTGCTGACTACACTACTCATGACCAAAAAAAGAGAAGTTTCAGCAAAAATGACCACTTAACTGTGAGGCACAAAGGACAGCTCATCCCTCTCAATGCGCCTACCATGGCAGGGTTCTTCTTCTACCCTTTCAGTAATCAAAGTATCCTCCAGTAGCAGTCTGTAAGCCAATAAACCCATGCAGAAAGGTTCAAAACTGCCAGTGCTTCTTCAAAGGGTGGTAACACAAGCAAAGGAGAATTCCTGATGGCCTGGAAGGCAGAGACACGCATGGCCCAAGTCAGTCCCACAGGTATTTGCAGTGAAGAGCTGAAAGTTCAGAATGTGGCAGATCAAGCCAATGACCTAGAGAATGCGGAGTACTGTCTTAAATAATTTCATTGGATGGAAGTCAGACTGCAAAACAGACACCCTGCTCCTTCTACAGGTCCAGATCACTTTAGCATTCATCAGCCCATGAGGTAGACAAAGTGATCCTTGCTTCCACCAGGAACCTGGCAAAGCTAAAATGAGTTTCTGAAAGAAACAGCTTTTAGGACACAATGACTAAGAATAGAGGTATAGAAAGTAGTCCTGTGGTACCTCCACTCACAGTGTCCCCACAGGCAAGAACCCTTACAGAGGAATTTTCTTCATCCTACTACATGGACTGTTATTCCCTGAAAGGAGATGAAATTAGTGAAACAGAAGCAGACCTGTGGAAAGAAAAGGATGGTCTTCCCTATACCCAAATACCTGCTTAGTTTAACCTTTTGGCGCAAGGACAAGGGACAGCTCATGCTCTGTGAGTGACAAGCAAAGTCCATGTTTCACACGTATCGCATAATGACCTCACTCTGCTCCCATATTCACTGAGTGAAGAAAGATAACCCTAACTATGCCTTACTGGCTGACTTGGCCAGCCATACTGGAGGCAGTCGTACCATAGCAAGCACAGAGAGAGCCCTCAATGTTGCATAACCAAGTTACTACTAAATTTTACAAGAGGTCCTGTGCAGAACTGCAGGGGGCTTTCCATATGGGCTGACAACAAC